AAAAAAAGGGGAAAAGGAAAAAAAGGGGGAAAGGAAAAAAAGGGGCGAAAGGAAAAAAAGGGGGGCACAAAGGAAAAAAGGAAAAAAGGAAATAAGGGAAAAAGGAAAAAAGGAAAAAAGGGGAAAAAGGGAAAAAGGGGAAAAGGGAAAAAGAAGGAAAAAATAAGGGAAAAGAAAAAATAAGGAAAAAAGAAGTAAGAAAAAAGCAAAAAAGGAAAAGGGGAAAAAGGAAAAGGAAAAAAGAAAAGGAAAAAGAAGAGGAAAAAAGGGAAAAGGAAAAAGGGAAAGGGGGGAAAGGGGGAAGGGGAGAAAGAAAAAAAAAAAAAGAAAAAGTATGTGTAGTAAAAGTGCACTGCCTGAAGCCAGTGGCCCCATTTAAGCATCAAACAGATTTTTTTTTTTTTTTTCTGGTCTGTGCATGGACTTTTTCCACATGTGCTCCTCCCCAGGAGCTCACTTAGTGAGTGCACCAGGAGAGATAGAAAGAAGCAGACGCACTACATTTTGGTTTGTTCTGCACTTTTTGCATCTCAGGGGCACTTTAGGGGATTGCTGCTGACTTTTCTGCTGTCCATCCAAACTAAGCGTTAAAGGAAGTTTCTCAGATCTCAAGAGAGAAAATGGGTAATTTCATAAAGAAAAAAAATCCTTCCCCCACAGGACACATTAAATAACAATTAAGCAAAACAAAACCCCATGTCCCCAGCAACTTCTCTGAAACAGCAACGTTTCGGTCAGCTTCCACATACCGTTTTTATATTTTGCTACCTGTTTAATTTCATCCTTTTGTCTGTACACTTGCATTTCCCTCCCGTAGACACTCACACAAATAACTTTTCTTCATGAGTAATCTTAGCTCAGGCAGGCTGTGTGCACATAGACAAGGTCATATGAAAATACAGAGTCTTGTAGGATGGTGGCCTGCACTTGTATAAATGCGTACACTTATTCTCATGTGTAGGTTATGGTACTGAAGTTAATCACATCAATCGGTGTTTGAATGATCAGGGTCTTGCATCACAGGCTCCCTGGAGCAAGGGATTGTATGTCACCAACCATTTCAAAAGTGACTACCTTTGGGTTTTTTTGGCGGTCAGCTTGAGACACACAAAAAGGAGCCCGGTTTTCTCTGCATGGTTGAAGAATAATTAATAAAAACCAGGAGCACTTCACTCTCAGGTGTCTCCTGCTGCATCCTGCAAATCACGGGCTGATTTGAGGAATTCTGGCCTTTCAAACATCACACAAGTTCACAACTTTATAAACCCAGTAAATAATACTAAGGCATCCGAGACCCTCATTTTTTTTCCTCTACAGAATTCTCTAATGTTATTACATGACTGCTACAAAGGCAGTTCACTGCCCTGCAACCCTGGGCCCCACAGCAGTTGTGCATGTAACTCATCCTGGCTACATATGCATTCTTCAAGGTATCGAGCACCCACCACACACACACAGAAGTTATGGTCTGAAATTAATTTGAAAGGCTTTTTTAGTTCATTTTGTTGTGCATCTCAGTGACTAGAAGCTATTTTATATTACTATTTCACCTATACTATAGTGTGAATAATATTGACAATCATAAGTATTCATCTTCTCATCGGGAAGTCAAACTTCTTTCAAGCGGTAAGGAATTGATGCTTGCAACTTGTTTATTCATTTTGACAGCATTATTATTCCCTTGTGAAGATCAAAAATGGAGGCAGAAAGGGCAAATAATTTGCACTAAATAGTATTTCACACCAGTGCAAAAGCTGGCTATAAATGAGAATTTCCTAACAATTGATGGAGAGCTTTTAAAAATTATTTTTATTGTTACTGTTGCTGATGTTATGGGGACTGATGTTTAAAGGTTCATATCTAATCAAATTAAAATGAAAATGAAGAACTTACTCAACTAATTTTTTTGGAATGGCCTCTCTTGTTATGGGAAGCTTTCAATCCAAATCATATGTCCAAGTTCCTCTGTAGTCAGTGACAGAGTAAGTGCCTCCAAGTACTTGTCTGGACTGGATAGTACCAATCCTAACTCAAACCAGCTGTTTAAGAGATACGGGTTAAATAATCTCTGGAAGTGCCTACTTCTTTATTGGCTCTGGAAAAAAAGCCTAAGTTTGTTAACTCAGATTAACTGCCTTATTTTTAGTGAGACCTAAATGAGCTAATATTTTCAAAACATAAGAGTTGCAACATGTGATTTTCATTTCAGTTCCTATCTGTATCACTGAACTTTATCATTTATTGGCGTCTTTTTACCAAAGTTCAATAGAAAGGCACATGTCTTTGCATGTTCCTACAAATGTGTTTGCAGGAAAAAAATTATCTGCACAACAAATGTATTAGAGGGTAAATCACACCATCACTTCCAGTGCTGGACCTGCTCCCTATATAAACAGAGCCTGCAACAAGGAAACCTGGTAGTGTACAACTTTTTGCTTTTATGAGGATAGAAAAAAAAAAAACCAAAAACAAAAACAAAAAACCAAACCAGGAGGAAAGTCTTGTAGAACAAAAATACCTCCTGACCAAATAGTACACAACTGCAAAAGCATTTTCACCTGTTGTAATGAATCATTTATTTCCACTGCACTTTTCAATGTCCCAGTGTAATTTCTGCAGAACAAGAGCTTCAGTTTTCTGTAACACTGAAGCTGAACTGAATGTGTTTTGAAGAACATAACTACCTACATTTAAAAGTCAAACATCCAGAGATCCAAAAAGATGCCAGAAAGATAACAGAGGGCTTATGCCTCACTGGGCAATAACATCATTGGAACCAACTGCAATGAAACCAAGGAAGGTGGCCACAAATAAGGATCAGAAATAGGGCAGGTAGCCACCCATGAGTGGAAGGTGGTGATAGCAGGCTACCTTGTGGTGGAGATCAAAGGAAAAATTACATAGGTGAGTCACTCAAGGCTGAGTGAAGGTCAAAATGTGATGAACTAGACATGTTTAGGATGAAGAGTCATCTGCTCAATAGTAGAATAGCTTCAGAATATCGTGGTGAAAACCTTGGATGTATAAGTTATTGCAGAAAGAGGAAAATAGTACAGAAACTTTAACACCTTTCTGCTTCCTCTGGGGTATCTTTGGGATCTCCTGCAGATTTAGGAGTGGGCATTATGTGAATGTGATCCAATATTACTTTTGAGAAGAGATTTGTAAGTCTTTTCCCCTTTTCTCTGAAGTCGGAAGTGGGAGAATTACAGAGGCTGTAAATACTCTGAGGGAAGTAAGGTCCCAAGCAGAGCTAGAGATGTTAGTGCTAATTCCTTTGGTTTCTGATTTCTGCTGTAGTTCCTGCATGTCATCCCACAAGTGAAAGCAAAAAGAAAGCCTTTATTTTCCCCGTGGCAGAGGGCCAGCAGAACAGTCCAGTCCTTTCTCTTGCTTCTGGTAGAGAAGAGTATGTCAGGCAAATGAGGAAAGGCAGAAGTGAAGACATAGTACCCTGTGATATGCGGTTATTCAAGCACGAGGTTGTTCTATAAAGAGCCTTATCAGCACAGCACAAGCTAAAAAACCTGCCTAAGAAGGAGAGGTTACTCCACCATATGTCAAGGACTGCTCCGCTTCCCAGCTGCTTCTGCAATCCAAGAGGCATAAGGGTGACAATATTTCTCCCTGGGCTGTGAATGAACGCAGAATTGAGATTCCACAGCTCCCGCTGCGTGCGCCCACTGACAGGATGTCATACGGCGGGACGAGGATTCACGGAGGCTCTCCCCAGATATCACAAGTACAATAGTCCTCGGTGAATTTGTAGGATCCAAATGCATCAGATACTTAAAGATTTTTCAAACGATCAACTTCTGGAGGGGTTCTTCTTCTAAAACTGCTCTGCTAAAGAAGGTCAATGTGCTGGAGAGATCGTTGCTACTGTAATTTGTAGTTGCATGTGTTATTGCTGGTTCTTTCCAATGAACGGGGCCAGACAACTAATTTCAAATATCTCTCACCATTCTGTTACCTAATGCTTTCTTAACTATTGCTATCAGTCAATGCATTCCTGAGAGCAATACTTAGCCTGGAATTGGCTTGAAGCTTTCCTGGTCAAATGATACCTTCTGATTAAGTCTACACTAAAGCTCACAAAAGTCCCATCAGTTTCAAATGGCCTAAATGCGTTTTGTCATTAACACTGCAAGTTGTTATTCCATACTTTGGAAATACTTCATCCACCCCATCTTTTCTGTGTGCTATGAAATCCTTTGTAATTCTGGTATAGAAGAAGCCTTACTGATTTTCTGGGAACATATTTTGTACAGTAGCTTTCCAGCACCTTATTTACACTAAATCAACAAAAGTTACTTTTTGATTATTTTTTGAGCAAACCTGCATCCGGCAGCAGAAATGAATAATTGCAAGTTTCTTTGCCAGTAGGTTACGTCTCATTTCTAGCTTGACCTAGGGAGTAATGCCCCTAGACTTTGTTTATGCACTGTGTTTGTGAAAACCATGAAGAAAGCTTTTTCAGAAAAGAGTAATTCTAGATCACCAGCTTCTCAGTCAAAAGTGGTATCCATGGAGCATTTACCTGTACCCTTTTCTTGTCAGTGGCTAAATAATGTTGCCTTTATGACAAGTTCCAATTCCATTGGAAATATTTTTCCTTTAATAGACAGAGAACAGGCCTGCAGAAGAGGAAGATATACGACAAAAAGAAGGAAACAGATACGCTACCAAAGTTTTGCTTCAAACCTGC